CATCGTGCGTTAAGGCAAATTGCTGGAACTTCCCGTACCGTAATTCAAAATTTAAAAGCTTTAATTTTTTTTTGAATACATTAAATAAATTATATTGTTGAGAATTTTATAATTTTTGGAAAAAAAATGTCTTTTTTGAAAAAATAGATTTTTTTGTATCCGAACACACACATATCCATTTTTTCTAAGGTATGGCTAAATGTTCAGAAACCTTTGGAACGTAAAGATATATAAAAAAAAAAATTTTAGATTTTTTGCGATTACTGTAAGACCCTACAGAAAGTTACAAAAATTGTTTTACATTCATGTTTTGAAGTAAAATAAAACTAGTAGTGGTGTATAGCATCGTGCCTTAAAGGAAATTGCTGGAACTTCCCGTACCCTAATGAAATTTTCGAGGAATATTGAATGTTTTGAAATAAATTATTATAATTATTTGAAGTATTATAAGTGATGTTTAGAACTTTAGCTAGAATTAGAATTAAAATCCGAATTATTTTTCGATATTCACAAAAAAAAATTTTGAAATTTAAAAAAAAAATTGAGAAAAACTTTTACTCGAAAGCAATCGTTTCGTCAAAACAATCAGAAAGTCTTTTAAATCATTCAAATCGGATGCTTAGTTCTCTCAAAAACTGCAATTTTTGCACATTTAGCTCTGTATCTGTGAAATGGCTAAACCTGCCTTTGCCAAATTCTAATCACTACTTCTCCTCATCATTAGGAATCGAATGTTTTTTGGATCATTCAAATCGATTGATCCGTTCTCTTAAAACCTGACATTTTTAGCTGGACCTGCCCTTGCCAAAATCTAATCAACACATCTCTCTACCAATAGGAATCGATACCTTTTTGGATTTTTTAAATTTTTTAAATCGGTTTATCCATACGCCCGAAATCGTTGACGAAAAATTGTCTCCACACATACACACACATATACATCTATTTTTTCTGAGGTATTCCAAAATGTTCAAAAGCTTCTGATACGTGAAGATATGCAAAAATTTTCATTTTCGATTTTTGGCCCATTACTATAACTTACCCTATGGGAAATCAATTATGTAATACATGGTTTACTTTTACATTTGCAACTAGTGTAAACACAATGCAATAAATCAATTCTTTGATTAATTTTAAATTATGATTACGTTCATATTATATTAGTTGAGAATGAAAAGGTACATGTGATTTATATCACGTGCAGTTCGCTATTAATGATTGATTAATGCCACGAATCATTAGGCTATTATTCTGACGTATCGTATGGCAGCCCTTGCGGTGCGCGAGTATCGCCATATACACCTTCACACAACAAAATCAAATGGGATCCTGGCGAAATTCAATCACATCTAATAATGTTTACTTTTTTAAATAATATAAAAAAAGTTTTTCATCGTGTATACGATAAATAAGAATTGAGGTGAGACGTGCTAATTAGATTTTGGCAAAAGCAAACTATTTCGAAGATACGGGACAAAAAGTGCCAAATAAGTTTTTGAGATAACGAAGCGTCCGATTTGAATGATTCAGCATGCATGTTATTTGTATTGACTAAACGGAAAACTGATTAAATTTTTGAGAAGGCAGGTCAAAAATTGTCTAATGTTTATAAAATTTATATACACTGAATTGCAAAGTTGAAATTATTTGTTTAAAGTATATTAGAACAGAATTAAAAGTAAAATCTGAATTATTTTTGATATACAAAAAAAAATCTTAAAAAAAAAATTGAAAAAAAAAATTAGGAACAAACATTTTTTTCCAAAGGCAATTATTTTTTGAAACAAGCGCAAAGTTTTCTCAAAAACTGTAATTGTTTGCACATTTAGCTCTGTATCTTCGAAATGGCTGGATCTGCCTTTGCTAAAATCTAATCATCTCTTCTCCCAAACATTACAAACTGTTAAATCGGATACTCCGTTCTCTCAAAAACTCGATTTGTATTTTCTGCACTCTTTGTTTTGAGAAAATGCTCCGTATCTCCGTAACGACTGGACCTGCCTTTGCCAAAACCTAATAAGCACATCTCCCTATCAATAGGAGTCGAATGTTTTTTGAATCATTGAAATCGGTTGATCCGTGCGTCCGAAAACATGGACGAAAAAATTCGGACATACAAAACACACACACACACATCCATTTTTTCTGAGGTATGCCTAAATGTTCAGAAGCCTTCAAAACGTCGAGAAATGCAAAAAAAATTATTTTCGATTTTCGGCCCATTACCATAACTACCCTACGGGACGTTGAAAAGTCAAAAATAGTGGTGCATGGCATCGTGCCTTGAGGCAATTTGCTGGAACTTCCCGCACCGTTAAGCATTTGAGGAATGAAAATAATCAATAATTAATTACAATTGTTTTAAATATTTTCAAATAGGCGACTCAATAGAAAATCTGATATTTATTATAATTATGTATTTGAATAAGTAATTATAATTATCTATTTGAAAAAATTCAAAACAATTGTAATTGATCAATTGGAAAAGTATGAGAAGTTCCAGCAATTTGCCTTATGTCACGATGCCATGCACCACTAGTTTTCTTTTTGCTTTTTTCGGCAATGGGTACTACAATAAAACGATTTTCGTAATTCGTGTAAGATATTCACTCTCACCAAATGTGTGAATGTCAATAAGTAAATTTTCAACCAAGTCTCTCTCTAATAGAATTAACGGATACATTACGAATGACGTAACCACGTGTTACCGAAATACTAATAATAGGGCTAATTCACTACGAGCCAAGTATTAAAACTGACCTTCCGTATCGTGCGGTAAAATTTATTGATTAGTTACAGATTTATTTAATAACTTTTTGTCTTTTTAACTTCCCGTGGGGTAAGTTATAGTAATAGTCCAAAAATCAAAAATAAAAATTTGTGCATCTCTTTTCGTTTTAGAGGTTTCTGAACATTTTGGCATACCTTATAATTAGAAAAAGTGGATGTGTAGAGTGTGTGTTTATGTGTGGATACAATTTTTGTCAACGATTTAGAGAGCATAGCTTAACCGATTTGAATGATTCAAAAAGCGTTCGATTACTATTGATAAGGAGACGTGCTGATTAGTTTTTGGCAGAAGTTGGACCAGCCGTTCAACTTCTGCAGAAAATGGCAATTGAGTTTGTGAGAGAACGGAGCATCCGATTTGAATAATTCAAAAAGCATTCCACTTGATTGACGTAATGAGGAGTTGGTCAAATTTTAAAAAAGGTTTTAAAAATGCTATTTGGCAGTCCAAAAAAAATATATTTTTGACAGTATAGACTAATCGACATGACTGGGTATCAAAAATCTTCAATACATTTCAAAATTTTCAAAATGAATCTAATTTTTCTTTTCTGAGCTTGTAAACATTTTGAATTACGGTACGGTAAGTTCCAGTAATTTGCCTTAAGTCACGATGCCATTCACCACTAGTTATTATTGTGCTGATATATAAAAATATATAATTTTATTCTTTCATTTATAATGATAATATTATTGCCATAAGCGTTAAATAAATAAATAAAAATTTCAAATAAATTTTCAAATAATAACTATTATAATTCTGAAAGGAATATGAATTTAAATTTAAAAGTAATTATATCAATTCTAATAAGTTTTGATAATTATCATAAAAATGAAAATATGTATAATATTGTCACTTTATTCACTGGATTTATTATTTATTAATTAATTTTTCTCTATAATGAGAATTTTTTGATCGGCGTATGTAGCTTACTATTATTAAAAACCTACAATTCAGATTGACTTGAAATGTCGCGAAAGCACAAAATTAGTAAGTCGGATTAGTAAGTTAAAATTTAACATTTGAAGTTCATAATAGTAATGAAAACATTTTATTTGGATCGTATCATTCTGTGTATTTTGAGTACAGAACTAACATAAAAATATTATTGAGTTGTAAGTAGCATTTTCCTTTAAGGCAAGTTGCATGAACTTCCCTAAACGTATACATAATTATAATGATAGCAATAATAAGTATACATAATGATAACAATCATCAATAAAAATTGAAATTCAACTATATAGATGAATATTTATTACCTGTTGATGAGGTGAATATGTTATTAACGGTTTATTTTGAAAATGGTACTTTCGCTTCCAGTAAGAAATAATTAATACGATTTCCAATTGATGTCTTTCAAACATACTTTGGCACAGATTCTGATTAGAACCACTCATGTTCGCGGCGAAATTATGAACTTTAATGAATATTTTAACCACTCTAATATTTTAGCATATTATTTCAGACTGCAAAAACTGTGGTTATACAAAAGTTTCATCAAAATCGTCAAAAAAATCAACATTTAATAACGATTTTTGGCAAAAACAAATCGATACGATTCACACATTTTTAGGTGCGAACAGTTTTTGAGTTTTTAAAATCAGTTTAAAATTGTGGGCTAAAACATGGACGAACAATTTTATACTTTTCTGCTAATTACAAAGAAACTGCTCGGGCTATCGTCGCGCTGAACGCTACTCCTTATTGAGTTACATCTAATGGCTTTCAAGTGTTTGAAATCGGTCTAGCTGTTTTTGAGAAAATGTCGACAAAAGGTCAAATATCGACTCACATACTTTTTCCAAATTTGATCCCATTCGACTCAGAATGACTTGAAACGCCGAGAAAGCATAGAATTAGCAAATCGGACTTTTTTGCGAAAACATAAACTTCTGCTTCTGAAAGTTGATAAATAGTATTTTAACTACAGTTTTAGATTTTAAAATCACTGAGTAATGTTTTCCAAGTTGGATTTATAATATTTTACTGTTCATAACTTAAAATGCCGGCGAAACGTACGATAAAAGATCTTATTCAAATCTTCCAAGTACTCATAATAATTATCATAATTATGACGAACATTATGGGAAACTTTTTACAAATACCACAACGCTCACTCATATATCTCAATTCTGAATATATTTGTATAAGTCAGTAATGTTGATGGATTAACAGTTTCTTTATCTCATCCATCAATTATATCATTAAGATGTGGACGAGTGCTCGCGGAATATGCATGATTGCCCTATGAACAAGACGTGTGTAAACACCGTCGGCGGTTACACTTGCCAGCAGTACGCAAAAGCTCCGGTCGCCTCCGAAAAGAGGGAGGTGCGCTGCCCCGACGGGTTCCAGTACAACGCTGCTTCGCAAGTCTGTGATGGTAAGTAAAATATTTTATTTTTAAAATATATTACTTATTTATTTGTATTTGATTTGTTTATTTTTTTAATGCTGAGTCTTGATATTGTGTTAGGGATCGTTCAAGTATTACGTAAGCAGATTTATTACAATTATTTACCCCCCCATCCCCCTTGTCAGCAAAAGTAAGCAAAGCTCTTACCCCCTACCCCCATGCTTACGTAAACATTTTGACGTAATCATCATCCAGACTCCCCTGCCCCCCATGTCAACCCAAAATAAGCAAATCAACAACTCCCTCGCCCCCCTATAGTGCTTACGTAATACTTGAACGGCCTCTTATGCAAATATAAATTAACGTATGGGGGCGTCCATTAATTACGTGATCGATTTTTTAAGGAATTTTGGACCCCCCTCTCCCTTGGTGATACGTGGTGATATTCAAAATTAAGCGCCCCCTCCCTTCCCCACCAAACATCACGTGTAATTTTAGTTACGAGAAAAAGTTGAATTTTTAATTTTTTTTTTAAATGTTGGGATTTAAAAAAAAAATAGGTAAAAAATAAATACACGTCATATCTTACTATACACCACCCTCCCCCACGTGATATTTTGTGATTTTTTGTCAAAACCCCTCTTCCCACTAAAAACCTCACGTGATTAATGGACGCCCCCTATAGGGTCAGCTAAATAACTTTGGGGCCGTTCAAGTATTACGTAAGCACTATAGGGGGGCGAGGGGGTTATTGATTTCGTATTTTGAGTGACATTTTGGTGACAGCTTTGCTTACTTTTGCTGACAAAGGGGGATGGGGGGGTAAATAATTGTACTAAATCTGCTTACGTAATACTTGAACGATCCCTTTTTTTGAAAATGCTATAAAAAACTACTGAATACTTTCGGAATTTTTAATTTTATTTAAGGGGGTGCTCTAGTGTAGATATTACAAAAAATCTTTTTTTTTTGTTTTTTTCATATTTTTAAAGCTTAACTATTCAAGAGAGAGGATTTTTTTAAATTTAAATCATTTACGGAGATATAGCTATTTGACCATGATAATCTTCTTCTGTTTCCTTTGATTTGCGAAACTTTAAACGCGCTTTTCTCAAAACTGTCTTTATCATACGATGTCCACTATTTCTCGAGTTCTACTGAACCGATTTAACTGAAATTTTCAGAGAATCTACTTTAAAGACTTTTCTCTGGTATATACTAGCTTAATCCACAAATTTAAATTTTTACTATTTTTAAAAAAAATCGAGAAACTGAGAAAGAGTAGGAAAATGGTCTATTTATTCAAACAATCGCCATTTTGTCAAAAAAAAAATTAAACTCAAGGTTAAAATAAGTTTTAACTTATTTCTAGTATATGCCATTGCAACATTATTCTAGATTATGTTTTTAGTAGGGATTACTAGGAGGGTATAAATCGTGGACACAGTCACGTGCCAATTTTTTGTGACCCTACACTACAATAACTGCTAATTTTTAAAATTAATAATTATTTTTTTTACTTTTTTCTGTACTCTTATAACGTTAATAAATTTATTAAAAATACTAGTAGAACTTTTTCACGATGATTTAAAAATTGATCTAAAATTCATGCTTCTACACTAGAAGAAAGCATTTCCTTAAAAGCATTCCATTATTAACTGGAAGGATTGTACTTTCAAATAAAAAAAGAAATTTGAGAAAATATTCTAGTAAGTAGCTCATGATGGACGATTCCCTTCCGGTATCACCACATCCACAGCCTTACTTTTTTCGATGTCAATTTCGGCTTTTTGAACGTTTGTGATTTCTCATCATCAGTTTTTTTCATTTTCGATTATTGTATGTGATTTATTCTTCATCATCAGTTATGATATGTTAATTCGATCTATCAAGGACATATTTTTGTTGCCAACTTTGCGTAAATGGTTCAAAAAGTTTTCTGATCAATGCCTAACTCCATACCATAATCAGCAGTTTCGATATGTCTATTTTGCTGCACTTTTTTACATATTTCAACAACTTTTTCAGTGATTGGTAAATAGAATTCTTCCCTTTATTACATCAATATTTTGGAAAATGACGCATTTTTTCATTTTTTTTTCTGTTAGAACACAAGTAACTTTCCAACACCTGGACTAATTTTGATGTGTACAACCTAATAATAATGCTTAGAATGTCACTTTTCAAATGGGCATTTACTGGTGTCACTGCGATCTGTACTTCCTGAAGTAACTAACACAGTCTATCGGGAAAAACTCTACGAACTTTTCCTTGACCTTCTATATAAATAGGCTTAGCATGGATGTAATTGTCATAATTAAATAATTTTATTTTAAAATTTGATCTGATATAGATATCGACGAATGTCGTTTGAAGATTGTGAAATGTGCAAATTGTCACAATACTATTGGATCGTATACGTGTGTTGAAGAAGGGCCTACAGCTCTTTGCCCAAAGGGATACAAATATAATGAAATTCACCTCACATGTATAGGTAAATAAATAATCTTTATCTATTTTGGCATATAACTCATAACACTTATAGCTTCTTAAATAAAAATTAGTTATTTTTCAATCTGATATATATTAATGAAAATGAGATTAAAATTTAATTCGTTTAAATATTTTAGTTTTGATTTAGATTCTTAATTATTAAAATAGATAAATTTAGTAAATATTATTATCATACGATTCATCATATTCATCAGTACTAGTATCAAAAATAAATATTTTGAAACATTCCCTAAGTGCACATGTTTTATAGATGTCGATGAATGTGCAGAAAATATAGATGATTGCAATAGACAATCTCAATTTTGTCTAAATACGCTGGGTAGTTTTAAATGCCAAAACAAAGCATCAAAAAATAGTTGTCCTGCAGGATTTAAGATCAACTCCGAATTAGGCACTTGTGAAGGTATGTATCGTTTGTGTGGGGTGAACACTTTGTTTAGAGATACTAAATAATAATTATTCATTTTCAAGATATTAATGAATGTTTGGTCGAAATTAATGATGCCGGAATCTGCGCTGACAATGAAATATGCATCAATGAACCTGGACAATATCGCTGTGTCACATATCAAGGACCTCAACAGGTGAATTAAATTAAAATAAATGGTTGATAGATTTAATTAGATTAAAAATATAGCTTGGCTGTAATTTAATTAGCGTGATGCTTTACAATGCACTAAAATTTAGGAATAAGAATATTGTATAGGGTAGAGTGGGGCTTAAAGATCCGCGGGTAAAAAGGTCTACCACCGATATCTCAAAAACCATCAGTAAAGTTAAGAATTGTTTAATAATATTTGAAAATAGAGGGAAAAAATGTATAACCAGACACCACCTTGATTCTTGCGACTTTGCTATTGGGAGAAAAACGATAATGTTTTAAAATTCATAACAAAAGTATTTTTTGCGTTGTTATTTGTTTTGATTGTGAGCACTGTTGCTTAGTTTTCTTGAGCCTAATATAATTTTCAAGTATACGTTATTTAATTGTTTTATAACATGTATTGTTAATTTTTAGTCAGATTTAACAGTGCTTCTTATATAACCTTTACAAAAGCTTACATCTGGGCATGGTAAAAGGTGGCAACTAAACGTTCACCCTGGCAAAGGTGTAAAAAATAAAAAAAAGCAAATAAAGTTAAATATAAATTATAAAGTTAAAATAAGCAATTTTACAAGAAAAAAAATGAATAAATAGTTATTTCAATTCTGATGATGAAATACCAAGTCAATGTTAATTATAGTGTTAAATGCACCCACGAAATTTATATTTTGCATTAGTTTAATATTGTAGCTATTATTTGGTAAAATCTCTTTAAAATTGGAAAGAGACTTGTTTGCCCTTTGGGCATCCCAATTTTCCCCGCCTATGGGGTAAAAATAACCAGGTTACATTTTGAAAAACATGAAAAAACACATTTATAGAATGATGAAATAATTAGCTAGGACTTTTACTGAACATAGTCAGATAGTGTTGTTTGTTTAATACGTGTTGTTTGTTATGATATAATTGTTTTGGTTTCCACAATATAATTGCTCAAAGTCAAATTGGACCTTTGTGCTTTGCCCTATCGTATAATAGAAATCTATCATATACAATATTCTTATTACTAAATTATCTATATAAATCTGAATACCTATATAAAACCAAATGGATATATCCAACCAGAATAATGAATCCCTATATGATTCCAAATGGATTCTATGCTTAACTGTTCAAGATTTTCTATTCAAATTGTAATTTCGGGGCAGTAGTACAGTCGTTAGTATAGGTGAATCATACCTGATTTAAATTACTTCTTCCGTTACAGGAATCCCTTTCAGCTCGAATACCTGAAAACGAGATTCCGCATCATTACGATTCGACGCAAGATTTTATCTCTCCTATTAAAGTTTCAACTGTTGCAACCGAAGAACTATCATCTACACAACCGTCGATGTTCACTCAGTCGAACCAAACTGTTGAAGCTACCTCTGAGAAGTCAACCCAGCCGAACAGCGCTCCCACGCCGAGCACTCAGCAGACGGCCCCGATGTACGTTCCGACAGCGGTTACTAGCACGACCAGCACAACAACCCCGAAAAGCGTCGGAATTACGTGTAAAGCGGGCTACAGAAAGCATCCGTTAAGTAATGCCTGTCTAGGTAAGCTCTAATTATATTTATTATTTCATTACTAAATGTGTATATTGTACTAGCGCTTATTATTGTTATTAGTAAGTTGCGGCAGGTTTAATACTTAACGAATTATTTTTAAATCATAAACTTGGCATAATCATTAAAATAGATTTTAAAACTAATGCTTTTCGTAGAAACGCATATCTTCTTCTGTATATAAAATTATGGTACAATGGGCGCTCCGTAGATTTGTGCTAATAATGCTTGAAAATAAAATTATTAAAAGAAGCTGTATTCTCGTTGTTGATAATTAATTTTTATTCTTTGTATTAGAGTTGGGTAACTCTGGAGTGAGTAATATCCAAGGATATAACTCTTCTCCTAGAGTCAATCCGAGCGGAGTTATATCCGAGAATTTGTCATATCCGACTTCCCTAAACTAGGTCCTGATCCATTAACACGTACAGACGTTTGTTTATGTTTTTTTCACCAGAACAAAGAAAAATTCGCGTCGAAAGAAGCCGTCGCTTTCTCTTCTTACTGGTAAATTTATGATTTTCTAGGTATAAAATGACCCATAATAACACATTTTGTATTTTTCATAAAATACGATAGTATAACTGCAAAAATATAGAAAAATCTTTTTTTTTTTCAAGTATTGCAACTCAAATGCAAAATTTATTTATTAATAATGGGTACTACGACAATCCTTGTCCGTGAATTACCGCAATCACGAATATATTTGCCGAAAATTATACAAATGCATTTGATCTGTTTCCTTCATAGCCCGAAATAACTATACCTTAGTTTGCAAAATTTATCGGCGATTTTTTCAATTCAGTTACTTTTTAACACCAAAAAACATTTAGTATATTATTTTTTATAACTTTATATGGACTGTTCGATATACAATTAATCCTTGAAATGGAAATAGTCGAAGGGAAATGTGAGGTATTATTATTTGGAGAAAAATGTTTTATTGCAAAAGTTTTGTTTTTATTACATACATAAAGTTGACAACATTATTTTCATATATAAATAATCAAATACATAATTGTAAAATTGAATTTGGTTCTCAAATTTTCCGATTTCCGTAATTGTGTATATTCTCCGTATTGCAAAATTTGTAAGTGAGTGCAAGTGCATCATCAAAGAAATGGCAATGAGATGATAATCAGTACTGGAATCACTTTTGCCTTAAAAGACGGTAAAGCAAATGCAATTATTGTTTTTTTAAATACCGGAAATTTAATAAGACATTTGAAAAGAAAACACCTCACGGAACACCCCAAAGAAAACTCGTGGTCGGAGTCGTCGGAGTTGTTAAGCGGATATAACTCCTCTCTGAAACAGAGTCGTATCCTACCCGATTCGGCTTCGGATATGATAGACCCAACTCTACTTTGCATACTATTCCATCTGTAGGCAATCTTATCTTGCGGTGTCTTATATTCGGCCTGGTTAACGCGGGTTTAAGTTTAATTGTTTTCTCTTATTTTACTTATTTATATTTAGGGTTCCGTACCCGTATCCGTACCGGTACCCGAAGGGTCCGAACGAAACACAAATGTTGCACAAAATTTGTTCGGCCGTTCGTCTGTCACAGGCATCTAGCAAAAACTAAGGAAAAACTTTCTAAGCGGAACGGCTTACGGACTTCACACACAACACGTAAGTCGGTTTTTGGTTAAAGGGAGCGCCCATATATGCGTCAAACGAGATAGGTGATAAGAGGAAAGAAAAAAAGTGATGATAACGGAACCATTCATTGAATTATCTAGTTTATTTTGATGCTTTATTTTCAATGTAATGAGAACATGATATACATTTTGTTAATTCAGACATCAACGAGTGCAGTGAGCGCAAGCACACATGCGATAGTACACAGGACTGTATCAATTTGCCAGGCTCCTACGCCTGTCAGTGCAAAACTGGTTACACGCTCGATCACGTAACACAAGGCTGTGTTGGTAAGTTAAAGACATTTGAAATTATACGTTATATTATTGAAGACATAACAATACAATGATTATATATACTCTGAAGAATATTCATCGATTCCTGTCGGTATCTGTTAACAAATTTCATGCTGCGCCACTATGTCAGCGAACATAAGATAAATTGCGACCACATAAATCACTACTTTTCAATGGAGTAAATTGCATTACTTTGCTTCGGGACAATAAAGATATCATAAAAGAGTATGGGAAAAATATTTTTTTTTACTCTCCAAACTTATTTTTCTTTTCAATATCATTATTTGTATTGTGCCCTTATAGCTATTATTCAATAATATGTTTCGAGTGGAAATAAAGTTAGTATGGGCTCGCGTAATTTTCAGGCCATGTTTTAATTTCACGACATTTTGCCAAATAATTATGACTTTTTAGTGAGATAACGCATCAATCTTAATTCTAAATCGTTGTTAAGATAACCAATAATTTATGACCTTTGCTAGGCTTTTCAATCTGAAATAACATTTTAATTCACAGACGTGCAAACAATATAGGTCTCCGTGTCTTAAAAGTCACATAATCTATTAATACCAAAAAAATAGTTTAAGCAGAATTTCTTATTTTTATTTGCATATGTAGGACTATAATTACTGATTTTTTGTTTGTCTTTTTTTATGTAAAACATAAATTGGGCCCAAGGTTAAAGTGACTCTTCAGTGATCTCATGTGTTTATTATTATGAGCCCAGGAAATTATTTCTTTTAATAATAATAGTTGGTTTTGTGCACAAGCGTTTTTTGTGTATCTGAAAAAAATCACAATTCTCAAAAACCATTGAAAATTTTATGTCTGAACGAAGAGAAAAAGTTGCATTAGTGACTATAATTTTTCATTATTAATTGTACCGGGATTTAAGTTGTGTGTTTTGTTTTCACACTTTTCAAGGTAACATTTCCGGTTGAACTTTTAAAATTGCGCTTAAACGTCTTAAAATTATATAAAACGTTTATACTATATGGTAACTATTACTTCACATTGATAAATGGAGAAGTGATTAAATCTGCTAGAGCCAAATAAAATTAAATAATTCCAAAAAAATTAAAAATAAACACTAATTCATTAGAATCTATGAATCAATAGAATCTATACAATTCATGTTCTTGAATGAAATTTATCAATTTTAGTTAAATTTTTATTTAAATATAATTGTCGGATGTGACACAAGCGGAGTGTCTTTTTTGATTGAAAAAATTTCTACAATAGTGAGTGAAGAGTGGAAATTTGTATAGTTTACTAACACGTCCATATCGAAATTAATTTTTTTTGTTTTATGAGACGAAATATCAATTTCTTTGCTCCAATGTTTTTTTATATTTATTATAACCATCTATACAAATATAATAAGCTAACATTTTAAACAAATATACAATTGAGTGAGAAGGATAATTGGCCATTGCCAGCTACTTGAAATATGGTATGACTAAGATATTATTTAGCGTATCGTGGCATGTTTGCCTGTTCAGACGCTTGGGCGCTTCAATAAATATAAAAAATAAAAATCTCCATAATAAAATAATTATTCCTCCTTAAATGATGTTTGAAAATATTCTGAAGACAATTTTCGTCACCAGAATCGTTGATTTATATTTTTAAGTGTCGATTTTATTACTCCCTGCTGGTTCGTAAGAACATTTTGTTAAAATGCTATTACTACTAATATTGTTTCTATCAGATATCAATGAATGCCTAACTAGACGGCACGCCTGCCTCGAGTCTCAGCGCTGTGATAACACAATCGGTTCTTATCAGTGCATCCGATACATCAACTGCGGCACCGGTTACACGCTCAACGCGGCTACCGGAGGCTGCGAAGATGACGATGAATGCGCACTCGGACTGCATGATTGTCACAGGCTGGGACCACAGTACCGATGCAGAAACATTCAGGTAAGTTTTTTTCTCATTTTTTTTTCATGATAGTTACAATCAATACTATCACCCTGTTTCGACTTGGCGTTGAGTTTAGGGACACCCTATATATGTATATATATACATATATATAAATATATATATATATATATATATATATATATAAGAGATGGTAACTCACTCCGGAGTTATCACTCTGATATAACTCCTCCCTCGGAGTGAATTTGAGTGGAGTTGTCTCACCGGATTTGTCATATCCGACTTCCCTAAACTGGTACTAAATCTGTTACTGCGTTTTTGCTTTAGGAAGGAAGCTGTCGCTTTCTCGTCTCACAGGCAGTTTTATGACCTTTTAGGCATACGATTTTTTTTTCAGAAAATACAAAAATGTTACTTCAAAGATACAGAACAATGAAATTGTGTTCAGTGTGAATAGCTCCAATGTATAATATATTGAATAGTAAGGGGTCATATTTCTAACTACGACAATCTTTGGCCGTGAATGACGGCAATCAGGAATATACATACCGAATAATACACGAAACAAAATACATTTAATCTGGTTTTTTCATAGCCTGAAATAACAATACTTTAGAGTGCAAAATATATCAGTGACGTCAATAGTATTTAAGCAGCAACAAATATATAGTATTAAATTTTACTTTTAAACAATTATATAATTGAGTAAAAGTAATAATATGCTAATCGAACTACCCGATATAATATTCATTCTCAAATGGCAATAGCAGAAGAAAAAATTAGAAAGCGGAAGTATTGTTATTTAGTGAAAATATTTTATGATAAATGTGTCGCTTTTATTACAAAGTTAGTAAACTTTTATATAAAATTAATCCAAAAAATCAATTATTTTCTCATCAAAAGAAAATAATTAAATTGAATTTGATTTTCAATTTTTGCGTTTTTACTTTGGTCAACACTGTTAAAATTACGAGTTATTAAGTCGATCATGTGATCGACCGAAAAATTTTAAAACTCGTCATTTACTTGGGAATTTTTAGAAAAATTATTTTATTGATATAATTTAATTTCATTTTATTTTATTCATAAATTTTCATTTAGAAAAATTAAATGGGATTTGACAAATTCTTAGATGCATAAACAACGCACTATAGAACACATTTGTGTCGAGTATTTCGGTTTCAAAGTTGTCGGAGTCATGGAGTTGTTAAGCGGATATAACTCCTCCCTGAAGCGGAGTCAAATCCGAGTCGATCCGGCTTCGGATATGATAAGCCCATCTCATATATATATATAATCTATTATTTTTGCATGAAATTGAAGACTTCAATTATCATAGTTGGAATGATCCGATAGCCGATATCCGATATTATTTAGGTAAGTTTTTTTTCATTTTTTTCATAATAGTTACGATCAATACTATTACTCCGTTTTGGCTTGATGTTGAGTTCTGGCACACTCTGTATATGTATGTATACATAATATATATATATATATATATATATATATATATATATATAATCCATTATTTTTGCATGAAATTGAAGACTTCAATTACCATAGTTAAAATGATCCGATTTAGATCAATTATGCGCCGTTTTGTTCGATAACTTGTTGCCATTTTGAAATTTAAAGAGAGAGGCAAATATCATTATGTCTCTCTCATTGAAAAGTCTTGTCCCTTGAAGCAAATTTTTCACCAGCACAACTGTTCGCCATGGACAGGAACAGATAGTAATTGCTTGGTGCCAGGTCTGGACTATAAGATGGATGCATAAGAACCCCCTGAACAAATTTCCGGAGTTTCTGGCAAGTAATTATCGAAGTTTGTGGCCTGGCGAAACACAATTTCTCTCCTATTGGCCACTTCTTTCCAGTTAATTCAGTTCCAGTTTAGAGTTTTGCCAAAGAAGAGCAGCTCACGGTAGATAATTCCCTGTCGATCCCACCAATTCCCAATCTTGGCTTGGCCACCGTTTCCGCCGACTCACAGCGATTCGATGACAACAGTTTTTGTCTTACATTATTGTAATTAAACTATTTTTCTTCACCAGTCACTCACCGCTTCAAAAATGGAGCGATTTTCTCGCTATTCGCAGGAAGTAATTCGGTCTAGTAGGTTTTCGTATGGCACACATACATCGGGCTTCTTTCTATATCCAGCCTTATTCTAATGTATAGATAATGCCGTTAAAATATATTTATGTTTATTCTATAGGGTTCCTATCGATGTGAGCGTAAAAGGCCGACTGTTCCTCCGACATTGCGGCCACCTGCTCCGGTTCGTAATCCAGCAACGTTGAAGGCGGCTAACGATATGCCGCAGCCACAGGCGTCTTATCAGCAACAAACGGCGGCTCCTTCTTACGTTCCACAGTACGTGCCTCCACAAAGACCTCGATGTCCGGCAGGCTATGAAAGATCTCGCGATATTTGTGTCGGTAAGACTTCTTAATTACTACCAAAAGCAACCGTAACATAATTTGACTTATACGCATTTGCAAAAATGAATTACTATTATCATTTTTATTAAATATGTTTTGCATTTTATATTTTAATAGATATAAACGAATGTGAGAGGAAAAATGTGTGTTCTCGAATTCAACATTGCGTCAACACTATGGGCTCCTATAATTGCGTCAACAATATTAAATGCCGTCATGGTTTCAAACTAAATGAGGATAACCAATGCCAAGGTATTAATTTTAAAGTACATATTGCATAATTACGCCACAAAAACTCATCGCAAAAAAAACACAAGCACTATAACTGTAGCTTTTAAGTTTAAATATTTTTACACAGATATTGATGAGTGTTCAGAGGGTTTACACGAGTGCACTGCAGGGCAGCTGTGTAAAAATAGAGCAGGTTCATATGTTTGTCACTGTCCTCCCGGGCATTATATGACTAAGGATAAAAAATGTGAAGACATTAATGAATGTGAGAAATATGGTTCACGGGTAAGTTATGATTAAAGCCAATATTTTGTAGAAATAATTGGCAGTATAGGGGTATTGCTTGTGTTTTGATCAAAATAATTAAACCATCATTTTCGTATTTAGATATGTCACAAAGCAGTATGTCGGAACACGATCGGTTCCTACCGCTGCGATTGTAAGGCCGGCTATAGGTCTCGGGAGGATGGTCAGCGGTGCGTAGATATCGACGAATGTCAAGAAACGCCTGGACTTTGTCAACATAGATGTCACAATCTTTGGGGTGGATATCGGTGTTCCTGTCAAGCTGGTTTCAAATTACACACTAACAACAGGTGAATATAAAAGAAAATTACAAAGTAATTAGCAGATTTTCGTTAATGTACGTTTTAAAAATGACAACATTTTTATTTAAATACATTTGAGAACGTACATGTTCAAAATTAAGTACATGAAGGAAGCTTTGTTAACTGGCTCATTAGGACATGCTGTATTCGCTCGAATAGCGAAACTTGGGTAACTTAGATCATTACATATTTCAATACATACTGAAGTTTGTTATATTTTCTATGATGTTTGACTTTAGAATTTATTTTTATTCGGACCGATTTTAATATTTATTTTATGAAGGGCCCAGCGGTGGCTTAATTGGTACGAGCGTGGCCTGATGCAAACTAGTCTCGAGTTCGATGAAGATCGGACAGCATGTTGTCAAATTTCTACTTGAGGTTATACATTTCAATTTAAAGTATAATCTAAAGTATATCGCCTTTGGTCGTCATTGCTGCAACATATACTCATTACCATTAGACAGTACAGCTAATATATTTGCCATACATAGGAAAATGGTTAACCGATGGGTTTCCTCCAATGGTGTTGTGCTAATATTTTTTTTGCCGAAACGCTAAAATTTGAAATCCGGTTCATAAAATTTTATATATTTCGATAAGAACTCACAAATCTAATATATTGACTTCTTATATAATTAACTCTATTATATACAGATAGTCTATACATTAAATTGTACAAGTATGAGGGAATCATTGAGTACATAATTTATATTCTTCAATGACATTAATTATATTTATTTTGGCATTATTTGTACTCATTAATACCTACAGGTATATATTATGATTAATAGTACTCAAGATTTATTACAATACTTTATAAGACTTAACCTAATATGATCGATAACCTATTACCTATCATACTATACTATATTATTGTATATCATAGATAGATATCTATTATCTATCATACCGTGAGATACCTATACCGTCATTTATTATTATATACCTACATACTACTGTCTTATTTATATATTCACCTATATTATATAGGTTTTCCTTACGCCCTATGTATTTTTTTTATTACCTCTACCTATCTATTGTCTATACCGGGAATTGAACCCGGGACCTCCGCGTGGCAGTCGCGTAACTTAACCACTACCCTATCGGGTACCCCCACCAATAATATAATATGCGACGCACTGTTGTTACCGCGGGTCTTTTTCTAATTAATTAGATAATTAATACTAAGGTGGCGCGACGACACGCGGAATAAGACGGTTGATTGTAGCGATACGGTGGTGTAGTGGTTAAGGTCGTAGCGTGTCACGCGGCGGACCCGGGTTCGATTCCCGGTAAGGGTACAAATAGCGTGTAAGAAAAATTGTAGGTAATAGGATATATAGTAGATAGGTTATATAATGTAGGGATTGAGAGTATATGATGAAATATATAGTAGAAGAGCCAGTGAACTATTTGACTAACCTGTTTTCACAAAGCCAGAAATTTTTTTAATGATAATTTATTATCGGCCCATTAAGAAAATACCATTCTGGCAGTCATTCCGCGGTTGCGTCATCATCCCTTCAATTTGTGAAAATGTAAAAAAAAAAATTTTTATAACTTGCTCGCACAAGGCTCAAATTTTGAGGGTGTCTTCTTTTAACTGTTCAGAAAGCATATGTAAAAAGCCAGCCCATTCTGACGGTTGCAAGGGTCTGCCAGAAGAGTACATAATAGTCATGACGCGCAAGGGTGTGGGCGCAATGCCATACATAATTGACTAATACCCTTGTATTTGAATAATTTATACGCCATTTTAAAGGTCATTTTGAAAACATCCGTTATACCAAACTTCAACTTTGTATCTCACCTTATGGCCGAGATATCATTGAAAATATGCCAAAGTGGCCCCTTTTTCAAACTCAATTTTTGGCGTAACCATAAAAGATATCAAAAAAAAAAATTACGTGATTCTACTCATATTGGCTTAAACCACATAATGTATAGTGATATATGCTAAATAATCCTTTATTATTAGCTAAAAAGGATAAAATAATTTTTCATTTAATGTTTTCGGATAGTGCGTTTTGTTCAATTACTTTATTATTAGCGTTATTTAAAAGCTTATTGTTTTCTCTTTTAGTACTGCAAATATGGTTTAAATCAAATTTGTGGAACACTTTGAAAAATTGAAGAAACCAGAACCAGTACACCCGCGCGTAACGCATCGCTTATCCGACCGAACGAATTCTATGCGGGCTACTATTAGCGTTACGCGCGGGTGTACTGGTTCTGGTTTCTTCAATTTTTCAATGTGTTCCACAAATTTGATTTAAACCATATTTGCAGTACTAAAAGAGAAAACAATAAGATTTTAAATAACGCTAATAATAAAGTAATTAAACAAAACGCACTATCCGAAAACATTAATTGAAAAATTATTTTATCCTTTTTAGCTAATAATAAAGGATTATTTAGCATATATTACTATACATTATGTGGTTTAATCCAATATGAGTAGAATCACGTAATTTTTTTTCGATATCTTTTATGGTTACGCCAAAAATTGAGTTTGAAAAAGGGGCCACTTTGGCATATTTTCAATGATATCTCGGCCATAAGGTGAGATACAAAGTTGAAGTTTGGTATAACGGATGTTTTCAAAATGACCTTTAAAATGGCGTATTAATTATTCAAATACAAGGGTATTAGTCAATTATGTATGGCAATGCGCCCACACCCTTGCGCGTCGTGACTATTATGTACTCGTCTGGCAGACCCTTGCAACCGTCAGAATGGGCTGGCTTTTTACATATGCTTTCTGAACAGTTAAAAGAAGACACCCTCAAAATTTGAGCCTTGTGCGAGCAAGTTATAAAAACAGTTTTTTTTACATTTTCACAATTGAAGGGATGATGACGCAACCGCGGAATGACTGCCAGAATGGTACTTTCTTAATGGGCCGATAATAAAATATCATTAAAAAAATTTCTGGCTTTGTGAAAACAGGTTAGTCAAATAGTTCACTGGCTCTTAGACTAATAGCGTATGGTATAGATTTAAGGCGTGTAGTATAGAATGCAACGTATAGGCATACGTAAGGCTGTAAAAATACACGAATAGGAACCTATGATGTAGGTGTTAGCGTATAAGAAATGCGAATGTATGTAAGATTAATTTATTAATATTATTTTTTCTATAAGAATTTTTATCTCGGTATTAAATATCTAAAATATCCGTTAAGGCGTCGATTACACCTTACTGCTGCCTTTGCCGTTATCACTTTATAGAAAATTAATTACTGCACTTTTAAACGATTGTGTGCACTGTGCGACAATAGACATAGAACTATAAATTTTATTAAATGTTTGAGTAACTTGTGCGAGCTGATTTTCTTAAGATGTTCTTAGTCTAGCAACTTACTGAATTCTAAAAATTTTAAATTTAAAAATATAATATAAATTATTATACCGCTGTCTGGAAGAGATGGCAATTTATAAATATACAGACTAATACATACAGAATTTGGAATTTTTCTATAATCCGTAATATTGTGAAAGTTTGCATTAGACCTACAAAGGGATGCGTATTTACCTAAGCTATGGAAATATATGGACAAATTATATGATTTGCACATGTGCATCCTGTGCTCACTTAAACTAAACAATGATCATAATATATTTAACGAATTTTTAACAGTATTTACAAATTACATTCAAATCACCCAAAGCAAGTGGGTTAAAGTGGTGTAATTTTTTAATTTGCCTCCCCCTTTTGAATTTAAAAATGGATTTTTCTGTGGGGCGTGCGCCTCACGTTGGGAATTACTAGTCTAGGAGTACAATTTTTTAATCTACTACCAGGTTAAAATAATTGAGTGAGCATCAATTCCACAGCACCTTCATCAGATTTTTAAAAGATCAAAGTTTCTATGAATATGCATACAAATCTCAAATTGTAGGCCGAAATTGAGACAATAAGTCTATTAAAATATCAGGGTAACTCTTTTGCTATAAATTTTCAACTAATTTACCAATAAATAAATGTCAATAAAACAATGATTAAAACAAATTACCATGTTGGATTGTAAAAATTTACAAGCGATCGAACGGCTTATATTTTTGCCTTAGATGGCAAAAAATTCATCCAATTATTAAAATATTACATTTTTTTTGCAGTTCTTATGCTTTTGTATTTATAGAATTGCTTTTTTTCGTTACAATCAATTTCCATTACATGAATGTCTTAAATTATTTATTTTATTCGACAAACGCCCGCTATGCCCGAAACAAGCTTATATCCGAACTTATATCCGAAATATTAGGACATCAGACACTTTTCGGTCTTAAAGTAACATATGCGAAATTTGAAATACACTTATGTATTGTAATTAATATTTCAGTTCATACACCTCAATTTGTAACTAAATTAAAAACGACTTTAATAAAGCCAGTGGTGTTGTGCTAATATTTTTTTGCCGGAACGCTAAAATTTAAAGACCGGTTCAAAAATCGGTTTTCATGTTTTTTCCGGTTCAGTTCGAAAAGGAAAGAAACAAAAATTATTACAAAACCCATTTTGTTCACATATATGTATGTTTATTACAATAATAACATTTAATAAAAATTAATTGAATAATAACTTATAAAATTTACTTATTAAATCATTTTCTGTATGTAGCGATTTTTTTATATTTTTTCTTGCCGGAACGCGTTCCGTCCCATAAATGATTTGCCGGAAAGACGTTTCGGCGCGTTCCGGCTCGACAACACCACTGGTTGCCTCTCATGAAATGGCCTTACATTGAGTCAAACAAATAGCTTATAGACGAATAGTTTTGATTGCTGTTGGACCCGGAAAAAATAAAACAATATTATACGAAAATTTATTACTAAAAAGTGTTAATTTATGACCTCCTAAAGTAGTAAGATTAGTAACAAATATATTTAATTCCAGGTCTTGCGTGGATATAGATGAATGTGAAGAATTCAAAGATCGTTATTTATGCATAGGTATTTGCAAAAACACTCCTGGATCATATGAATGCCAATGTCCTAATGGGTATAAATTAGGACCAGATGGAAGGACATGCCAAGGTTTGCCATTTATTCATCCATTCATCCATTTCCGAATAGTCTGCACATAGCACTTTTACATTGTGTTTTGAATTTTATATTTCGCTTTTGTTCATATTAATCTTATTATTATTGTTACTATTATTATTCTCAATTATTTTATTTAATATGTGTTACTCACATTAAGCACTTCTGCACCTTTTAGATATAGACGAGTGCACCTTAGAGCAGCCATGTGACGCCAACAGTCTTTGCATTAACACGCGCGGTTCGTACCAGTGCTACAATATTCAGTGTCCGCCTAACTATCTCAAAGACCGCAAAAAGTATGGACTTAATTCAACCTATGTTGTTATTGAATACACATTCAATATGTATACGTGCCATAAAATAATTACGAATCAAGACACAACATTATTATTAATGTAAATCTATTTTATTAACCCTATTGCTACGAGCGTCGCCTATAGACGACATTTGCTTGGCGATCTATCTGTACGAGTTTCGCCTTGAACGACTCACAGTGTATATAATTTTTCTTAAATTTATCATTCTGAGATAAATTATTGAGAATTCTGACTCGTCCATGGGACAAACCGTTCAAGAAATTGCGATATATGGAAGAAAAATTCAGAATTTTGAGACGAATCTAACGATGTATAATACTTTTTATATAGTTTCTATACGAATTTATGAAATAAAATACGAATTTATGAATAGTTACTCAAACCTATCCGCACTTTACATTTAAACATCCAAATCGCAAACGGTAAGGGTTACATAAAAAGTTTGTTCGGAGAAAAGATGCAGCATAATATTACGAACAAAACGATATATGTGTCTATATGATTTTTTTAAGATATTCTTAAGATTTTCCAATTTTCATCAAATTTCAAGAGTCTTACTTGCCTATAGTCCAAGCCGGTTGTTTCGTTATTGAGGCTTTTAGACCTTTAGAACTGTAACTTTTAAATTTTGAATACATTTTTATCGATAATGATCATAATCAAATATTATGTGTAACAAATACTTGGGCGGCTGCTAGCTCCTACAGCAGTGTCACTTACGGAAAACACTCGTAGCGAAAGGGTTATAATATCATATCAAGCTTGTATACAAATCATCTTATAATGATTAAAAGATACATAGACAATGAAAATTCAGCGATACGGTTTTACTATTATATAACCTTTTCTTTGAAGTTTGAGTTAAAACGAATGAAGTTGTAGAAAAAATGTCTTTTGAATTATATTCACTTGATTGTTGTTTAATTTAGCACCTGCAAAAAGGCCAGTGATTATTGTCACGTCGGAGACGATGAATGCATTAATGCGCCGTGGACATATTCTTACAATTTCATCAACTTTGTGTCCCGATTGCCGATACCGCGAGACAAGGGACATTTTGAATTGTTTGAAATAAGAACAATGTCTAACGATATCACGTACGAGCTTGTGCACGTCAGCGCTCCAGAAGGCGTCGTAGCTGCTACAAAGGATACGTTTAGGTGAGACCCGCATAACAAATGTTCATTAACTTCCCGAAGGAGAGGTTTATGTTTTAGCGAAAAAATCCGATTTGCTAATTTATATTTTCTCGACGTTCAAGAATGATGAAAAATTAGGAAAAAGTATGTGTGTGTGTATGTAAAACGATTTTTAACCTTTCGTCGATGTTTTCTCAATTCAATAATTTAAAAGCCATTCGACTTAACTCGATGAGGACTAACGTTGGTTAATTTTGTGCGGCGCACGACCAAGCCATTTTATTATAATTAGCAGAAAGTGTAAAAATTTTTGTTAGCGTTGTAGCGCACAATCTTGAATAGATTACAAAAATTGCTTGAAAGATGTTGGCTAGAAATTGTTTGATTAGTTTTTTTTTTGTAAAGATCGGCCATAATTAAAAGCTTCGTTCGTAATTAAATGTTAATTTTTTTTGACGATCTTGGTGAAACTATCTGTATGACGACAGGTTTTGTAGTCTGAAATAACATACTAAAATATTATTGGCCTACGATGAGTAGTTGAATTATACATCAAAGTTTAGAATTTCGCCGCGAGTTTAAGCGATTCTAACTAGAATCTGTGCAGAAGCATTTGCACGTTTTGCGTTTTATAGGTATACACAAAAAAAATACGTGTTTAGAACCTGAAAGGCATGACAAGAAATGCGTTAAACAATTTTATTTAATTTATACAATTACAGACATTATGAGTATGTTTGAAAAAATTATAAAAAATGGTTATGGATTAATCACTTGAAATGAAATGCAATTTTTACATTATCATAATTTTAAGACCGAGAAAATATAATTCAAATATAGTAAGTATAATTTAATGCTTTGATACCATTAAAAGATGTTTATTATTCATTTTCTACATAATACTATTTTTCGCAAGTCGCAAAGAAATGATTGAAAGCCGCCAAAGTGAAATGTTCGAATTTCAACTGATCTCAATTGAAGAGTTGTTTCAACTTCTATATAAATTTGATTTTTTAAATTTAGCAAAAATAACTCTTAATTACAAAGAAACGAGTTGGCTGATCCTTTTTCATACTAGTTGTATTGAAACCTTTTGTGCAACTTTAAAAAAAAAACATTAAAAAATAGCCATTGTATAAAATCTAATATTGTTACCTAAAGAAACAGAAAGTTACAGAAATATTTCAAAAAAGAAGCTGTAAATTTCATAAAACTGTTGGTACATTTTCAGTCCCTGGGATTTTTTAGACTGAAGAATATGACTGGTTTATGATTTTTATTAGTGTCTACTTTTAGTCTTACAAAAATACTATGATATAGATTAATCAACACTCGTGACTTTTCAATTTCTGTAATGTAACTTTTTTCTGTGAATGTGTTCGACCAATAATTAAATGTTTACGAAGTTTTTTCAAATATAAATATTTTTCTATTAATATGAGATACAATATATGTAACAAGTGCTTTTTCCTGCTCACTTTTGATCGAAATTTTATAAAAAATCGTTTTTTTTTTTTATTTTAAATCACGCTGGTGTGTCAAAATGCTTTATTTGATTTCAGCGCATTAACTGCATGTTGTCATAAAAATCAAAACTTTTAATCTATCTAGCACCTTCTTGCATCAGATTTTCACTTCTTCGAATAAAATGTGCCAATTATTATTATTCTGATTTTTAATTTTATTCTAAATTGCAGTTTGCGTCTGCTAGAACCAAATGTAGCTATCATATCGCTGGTGGAACCAGTAATAGGCCCACAAGAAATAGAACTTGAGATTACAATTAAGTATTATAGCAAAGCAATCTACCAAGGAAGTAAAGTATCTAGATTATTTATATATGTCAGCCAGTATGAATTTTAATTAGTTTAATTTTTATTTGGACATTCCAATAGCTCTTAGGTTATTTAAGTGTAATTTATATATATATATATATATATATATATATATATATATATATATATATATACATGTATATGTATATGTATGTATATTAATAATATTGTGAGTGTAAAATATGTTAATTATGAATTTTAATATTTATATAGAAATAGGAAATATGTTAATTATAAAATTTCGCATATATATGTTGTAAAAAGTAACATACAATTCATCGAAATTAAAAATCCATTAAATAATTACATTACAATTATCGTTTCATATTTTATGTACATTATTTATTATATGTTCATCTGCGATATAAAATGAATAGATAATTTAATTTATCTATCAAGAAAAATCAGAAATAATACTGAAATATGCATACCACCATCATACCACTATTAAAAAACTTAATATAAAATAAATATAAATCAATTTGATATATATTAACTTCCCGTAGGGTAAGTTATAGTAATCGCAAAAAAATCGAAAATGAAAATTTTTATATATCTTTACGTTTCAAAGGTTTCTGAACATTTTGGCATACCTTAGAAAAAATGGATGTATGTGTGTGTGTGTGTGTGTGTGTGTGTGTGTGTGTATGTGTGTGTGTATGTGTGTGTGTATGTGTGTGTGTATGTATGTATGTGTGTGTATGTATGTGCGGATACAAATTTTCGTCGACGATTTCGGGAACACGGATCAACCGATTTGAATAATTCAAAAAACATTCGATTCGTATTGATAAGGAGACGTGCTGATTAGTTTTTGGCGAAGGCAGGTCTAGCCGTTCCGAAGATACGGGGCAAAAAGTGCCGAAAACGGTAACTCAGTTTTTAAGAGAACGGAGCGTCCGATTTGAATAATTCAAAAAACGTTTCACTTGTATTGACAAGATGAAGAATCGATAAAATTTTCATGAAGGTAGGTCTAGCGGTTTCGGAGATATGGAGGAAAAAGTAAAAAAATGAGCCATTTGGCGGTCAAAAATGATCATTAGACATATGCACATCAAATTATCAGATATTTTATAGAGATTTTAACAATAAGTATACATTTTGTTAACATTCCTATGGGTTCCGTACCAATGCTTATGCGTTAGACAGCGACGCGGCACTTACGCGCTTTATATTTTGTCCCTATGCAGTTAAAACAGTACGATTGCTTTGAAAAAAGTTCAGATCTTCCACAATATGTTAAAATAAAGAAAATTTTTTTTTTCAAAAAAAAAAAAACAAAAAAAAAATTTAAAAAAAAATTTTTTTTTAAAAAAATTTTTTTTTCAAAAAAAGTAATTTTTTGGCCAATTTATAGTTTCTCAAAAATCTTATTTTTTCAAAGTAATTTTTTTTTCAAAAATGTTAATCGTTTTTAAAAAAATAATAATTTTTGGTACGGGAAGTTCCAGCAATTTGCCTTAAGGCACGATGCCTTAATTGCCTTAAGACAGAATTCCACTTACAGCTAGTTTTTTTTTTGATAACATGCCATCAGGAGACCATTGCTATTAATTGACAAGTACTATTCAACAAAATTCATTAATAATTTTAGTATGAAATAGTGCAGTAATTTTTAATTTCTGCGTAACTGTAACACATCGGAATCCACTATTATTTTTATTTATTTATAACCAATTTACCATTTATGTATTAAAGTACGAACATTCGTTGAATACGAAATATTCAAATGTCAGGTTTGTTTCTATAATATTTCGTATATGCACCCGTTGACTGACAACGCCATAGATAAATAAACATAAATAATGCACGACGCGTACGATTTTTGACATGGGGAGTTATCTTCGAACAAATGCGCGTTGCACTGTTTTGGTCTTGAGTAGTGTCAATTTTTAAAAACAGATGGCTCACGTGTGCCAATTTCAAGTACAAATCGTTCAGCTTCGTGCAAGTTGACAGGACACGCGAGGCTGTCAAGCGCTGTCAAGCATTTGATCCCTGTACGAATCGTACGAATAACCTAAAATTGATTCTAATGAATTAATTGTGTTTAAGTGAACATTTAAGTGAAATTTAATATGGCAAAGTGTTTTTATAGTACCCAAAAAAGTGCCAAGTGCAAGTTAAAATATTCAGCTATTCCAATACCAGTTCCCGGAAAGTTATTTTTTTATAATAATTGCAACACTAATTATATATAATCAAATATGATATTACAACATGTTATTATATTGAATAGGTGTATTGGGGGTACCTGCAAATTGCTGCAAAATGTACTTACGAACAAAGCCTAGGAGCACTTTTGACAACTAAGGAATGCAAGATGTAATGACAAGAAGGATTCATTAACAATGCAATAATTTAAAAATTAAGTCGTACAAATAATCTCCAAAGGCGTTCTATTTTTGAAGACAAATTTTTTGCCATGTCCTCAAACATTGAGAAAGTTGCATTCAGAGATACAATAGTATAGCGGTATTAATGAGTGTCTATTTAAAACATTAGGTTTAGCTATTTCTCTTAAAAAGTATTAGTAGCATATTCTGTGTTTGATGTTTGATGAAATACCATTATCTTCGGAATTGTTATATGATTGGATTGAATCTCATATTGTTGATGTTGCAAAACAGTTATTTAGTATTGGTTTAAATGTTCATGAACATAAGTTCATTGTTATATTTAATAAGATATTATCTATTATATTAGCAAATGTAAACACTTATAAAGCGAGTCTATACCATACATAATATTTTGTGTTATAATAATCTTCAAATAAAACTTGAGCAACATCCCAATATAATGTTTAAATTCAAAATATATTTGTTACTGACCTTGTGAGTCAAAAATATTGCTTTTATCTTTCAATTCATGAACAATTGTATGTGCATAAAACATTTTGTTGATATTTTATGGTAATTTCAATGATAATGATTTCATAATGAAACATGATTAAATGTAATGTTATAAAACACCGATGCAGAAACTATTCAAAGGTTTTGTTAAATGCAACTTTACTATTAATTCATTAGGTAGCAAAATAACTATTACATGCAGAATTAATAAAGAACAATGTCTCGTAAATGAGTTTTAATCCTAGGAATTTGGATTTCTCTCAATTTTGATATCAATATATATTTTATGTCTTTAGGACTTGTTTGCTTGTGAAGTATTTGTACTTTTTAACAAATTATCTGTTTTTTTTAACCTTCTAAATTTTTGTATTATTTGTCATTCCTTCTAACAATAAGTTTGATATTTCATCGTGTGCTTCTGTGCTTTTAGTTTCTTCTTAGTTTTTAAGTTTTTAATATAATAATATTAGTCATTGAGATATTAATATTAGTCAGTTATTTCTGGTTAGTTAGTTAAATACCTCTGTGGTTTTCTCCACTTAGATCTTTAGTTTTTGAGATATTATTAAGATACTTATAAATATATATAATAATTATATTTTCAAACATTCCACAGTTGTAATTATAATTGTTAATATAAACATAATTTTAATTGTTCTTTAACAATATGTAATATATTTGAAAATATATATTTTGTATTTCCTATGATTTATTCTTATTTCCAATATTAAATATAATTCATGTTTTTTGGGCTGTATACGATACGTACAAATTTAGAAGTAATACCAGGGGTTAATTTAAATATTCTACATGTGCTGCCATCTATTTTTAAAAATTTGTATTTTAATCGAGGTAACGTCAAATCGCCAGACATAGCGATCTATTATACTTGATTATCTATGATTTTTGACATTTGATCAAAATCAAACGTGGCAATGAGAAATGCCCCGAGAGAGCCATCTACATAAACTTCTGTTATCTATAAGCCGTCAGTTGTCATCAGTTGGCATTTCTTCTCAAAGTGGTTTTATAATGAAGCTCATATAAATAAACATGATAAAGCTTTTGTAAAATTTGAGAGTAATCTGCACGAAGGGCTAATCTAAAATGATATATTATTCATTTTTTGAATTTATTTCAATAAATCCTTTGAATTTCAGTTATTAGATGTGACATGTTAAACGCTTTTTCATATAAATATGTCAGAATAGATATAACAAAGGTACAAGTAAGTTTAAATATAAACCTAGACAATATAATAATATATAACTATATAATTAGTTCTTAATGCTTATAATAATTTATTAATATATAAAAGGTTAAATATATAAAAATAATAAATCCGCAAGTTTATTTAATTGCTTTGATGTCGTTTTTACTAGTTTTGAAAGCAGTACACGGCGTTATCCATACTCTTTCTTTTATCTATGACGTTATTTATATTTAGGGTCTGTTCACAGTGGCAGTTTGTGACGATCCACAACTCTTCCAAACTCATTCTGATTTGTTACACTGCGCATGCGCCGTCTCATGACTGTTTCCAACGATTTGACAGGACGGTTTACATCGAACGCGACTTAACCTTCACAAACCGTTTAGTATAATTCGTTTTGTTTTTATGTTTGTTTGGGCAGTTGAATACTGATCTAATACTACTAGTTTTAATTAAATTATATTATTTATTATTTATATTTTTTTAGCTTTATTGTTTAATATAATAATAGATTAAAAATATAATAAATAAGTTTTTCGATGTTTATTTTCATCAAATATATAAAACAGTTATTCAATTATTTATTTTTAATCGTTAAACTCCTGTAAATTTGATGAATTTATCAATCTCATACTTTATTTGAGGTTAGAAAAGTCAAGAATTAATGTTTTCAAAGAATCGGCATCCATGTTTTCTGACAGTCACAAACGCATCAAACCGAGCTGACCGAACGCGTAGATAAAAATCCACAACAGTTTGGGATTCAGTTTTGGACACATCGAACGGTCAAAACGATCTGCGCATGCGTCTGACGGTTGCGGACTGTCGGTGACTGTACTCCGAACAAACCCTTATTTTAACTATGGCGTTATTCGTTATTATGGCGCCACTGTAGCACAAAAAAGTTTAAATGTTGGCTACCTGCATCATTAGTAGAACTCTACTCTTTTATCTATGACTACTTATTGCTATTAGATGACAGAGCTATATCTTTAATCTATGGTGCAACCTGTCGGGTTATCCGAATTTGCTTTCTGTCATTCTGATGTACAAAATAATTATTTAGGATTTTAAATTAAACAGTATGCGTTGCAAAATTATTTTGTCATAGTCCAAAGCAATTGTAAAATTCTAGTGAGGAAACATATTAAAGACTATGTAAAATACAAGCGAGTTTCTGTGAAAATATGTCATTCAGTATTGTGGTATAGTCTTCTCTAGTTTGACATTAACGTAAAATTCTTCAACATGAAGAAACTGTTTTCTAAAATAGAAACTAAGATCGATAACAATACAAAAGAAACTAATAATCAGGTCGGAAAAGTTTTCACTGTTGGCAGGGTCACAGTTACTGTCGAAGATGTCATAGCAGAGGGTATAAAATTATTTATTTTGTGAAATTTTATTAATTATTTATGCAGACTAAAAAGTATTTATTGTGTGATTCTTATTAAAAAAATGTATTCTTTTTAATATTACTATCAAATTGAGTTCATTACATTACAGGATGAATTATGTTTACAATAAACCACTAACAATAAGTAATAATAATTGATACATCATAAAAATTATACTTTAATATTATTATTGCGATTTTCTGCTGGTTTTTATTTTTTTATAAAAATTTTTTATTGCTTTATTAGCTACTTATTAACATATTAACTGTTTATTGGATTGTGACCATTATTTAAATTTTTATCATTATTGTTTTCCTATGTTCGTTGCTTAATGCAAATGCTTATATTTTTAGGAGGGTTTGCAGTAGTGTTCTTAGCAAAGGGAAGTAGTGGTGCAAGATATGCTCTTAAAAGAATGTATGTTAACAATGAACATGACCTCAATATTTGTAGAAGAGAAATTCAGATAGCTGTAAGTATCTTAAAGTTGTAAATTGAATATTATTTTTTTATTTAAAATGTTTTGCACTAAACCTGACAAAGTGATGTAAACTTTTTGGTGAAAAAAATTGATCATTCAATTAAAGTTGAAAATTAAATACTTATTGCAGATTATAACAATAAACAGAAAATATGCAGTAGAAGTTATTAAATTAGCATTTACTCCAAGTTTAAAATGTTATCTTCAGAAGTTGAAATTTTTTATTAACACTCATTGCAATAATTTGAAAATAATTTTTGTATGTACTATATGGATCGAGATATAATGTCATCGGGGTTTTTGTTCGTTAAATATTGCTTTTAGCCCAATCCTGCAGATATGTTGTGTGAAAGATCTTCTTGGTTTTTAATTTACTTGCATACATTTTACTTCTTAAACTTTATATATCTTCTCATATTTTATTTCTACCTTTTTCTTATGCAAGTCATCAATTATATATATTCGTTATCTTCAACCATTCAATATTTATCTTTTCTTTTGCTGACATCTTAGAATATCCACTTATCTTACATAGAGACAACCTACTATTATAATCTTGGTCATTTTTATTATACTCTTATTCTTTGTATATTTTTTTCATTAAATTTTGTTTAAGAAACCATAAAATTTACAAGAAAAACAAGAGACACATTCCGTCCCAGATAACAAATTTACAGATGTTTTTGTAAATAATAAGTTAGTTTGCGAATAATTTATTTTTCAAAGATCTTTTTGGTACTTGAAAGTTGAACCCTTTTCATGCAACATTTATTCTTATTTAGGATCTTGCAAATATTCAAAATGATAATGTCTGACCTCTCATATAGAATTTAAACAAAATATTAACATTCATAAAAAAGCAATAACCTTAATGATGAAAATCCTTTTTGCTGGCACTTTAACATTCTGTATTATATAAGTGAAAAGTGAATTTTATTTTGACCTAATTTTTATTATTAATTTTTGTCATTCAGCTATTGATGATAATGGAACTCCAAATATAGCCCGATTATAATTTTTATTGTTGAGTACAAAGATAAAATGACATGAGTGAAGAGATTGGAAGTTTTTTATTTTCACCAAAATAATTCTGTAAAGTATGATATTATATGGCTGCATTGGGCATTATGTAGCCATTTCTGAGCCATTCTTTAAGAAATATATTTTGGCAATTTTAATTGAAGCAATAACTTATTTCCAATTTTGAATCAAATTTTTACCCAACCATACTAACAAATTTGTCAAAAAATGTAATCCAAACTGATGTTTACACTTATTTTTGACACACATTTAGATATTTTTATGCATATAGAAGATACATGTACAAACATGCATTCATAAATACATATGTAGACAACATGCAGTTTTATACATATATACATATATATATATATATATATATATATTTATATATTATATATAATATAATATATATATATATATATATATATATATATATTAGAGAGAATATTTTATTAGAGGATGTATGGCTTTTACATTAGTATTATGGTTTGTTTATTTTGTGTTTCCAAGTAATTCAACAAATTGATTTTTCTATTTTTATTTAGAGCAATCTAAGTGGTCACAAAAATATAATTGGTTACATAGATTCCAGTATACTACATACTGGAAATGGTGTTTACGAAATTTTACTCCTGATGCCTTACTGCAAAACTCATGTGCTGGCCATAATGAATACAAGGTAAATAAAATTCAATGATTTATCTATTTATCTTTCACAGTCTATTCTAATTAACTTCATAATGTTTATAATCTAATAACAAATTTTAGTTTATTATTAATAAACACAACACAGGTTTTAAAAACACTTCAGTTTAAGCTAATTTTGTACTTAAGCAACTGCTGTTATTTAACTTTCCGAAGGAGAAGTTTATGTTTTCATAAAAAATCTGATTCGCTAATTTTATGTTTTCTCGACGTTTCAAGCCATTCTGAATCGAAAGAGACCAAATTTGGAAAAAGTATGTGTGTGTGTGTGTGCGTGTGTGTGAACAGATTTTTTGCCGTAAATCGACGTTTTCTCAAAAACGGTTGAAACCGATTTCAAAAATTTAAAAGCCATTCGATGTATTTTGATGAGGACTAGCGTTTTTGAGTTTTGTGTGACGATATTTAATTTCAAATTTTAAATTACTTTGTAATTTGAAAAAAAGTGTTGAACTTTTCGTCCACATTTAAGCTCATCCTACCGAACTGATTTTAAAAAATCAAAAACTGTTCAAAAGATATTAGTTGGGAATGGTACTGATTAGTTTTAGGTGAAAATCTATCGAGTCGTTTTCTTGTAATTAACTGTTGAAAAAAAAATTTAAGGCTTTATTAAAAAATTTAATTCTTATAGAACTTACTGAAATATTACGGCCTTACGACAAATAGTTTGATTTTAAAAATTCATCAAAGTTTGAGAAAATGAGTAGTTCTTTTGACATTTGTTAAAACTAAAATTAGACTATTTACTTCGTATAATGATAGAGTACTTGGTCTTGAACATAATAAACCATTAAGTCCTGGAAACTGGTTCAATTATAAAAATTATTGATTTTTGAACATTTGCCTTTAAAAAATACTTAGAGTCTAAGTGTTCGTTCGTTTTCAATTATGTGTAAAAAATCCACTCGAAATACTTTTAATGGCTCATAAATTAATTTATTTTTTATTGATTAAGTCGATTATTTAAACATATCGGGAAGTTCATGTAACTTGCCTCAAGGCTAAATACCAAACCAACTAGTTTTATTTTCCTATCTTTATGTGTATTTAATGTATGAATGTATATATTATATAATGATTCTATTATATGTATATGATATATGGATACCAATGTATATATATATATATATATACAGTGGTACCCCGCCTTAGGAGCTTAATTTGTTCCATAATCACGATTGCATATCAAATTTCTTGTATATTGAAGCAATTTTTTCTATATAAATACATTGAAATGGCAATAATTTGTTTTAGGACATTGTTTTTTTTAATAATAAAAAGAAATTTAATTGCTAAGATCAAAACATTCATTGCTAAAATCAAATATATATATACCAAAAATATAGCAAATTACTAAATAAAAAATAACTAAATTATTACTATATTGGTTCTTTAAAAAAACGTCCTCTCAAATCTACTACTCACAAACTTTGGACATATTTTTCAATGATTTTACGCTTTAATTCAAGAGACATGGCTTTTGTTTGGAACCATGATTGTTATAAAAGTAAATATATCTAACAGTATAAGAAGCAAAAAAGAACGAACACCTCTTACATTCACTATGAACATAAATAATCTCAATGGGTGTGAATTGCTGTATCTGATGAACAAGAATAATGGAAAATGGATTAATATTATTTAATTGAAATGTTTATAATTAAATATGAGTATACGCTAGGAAGAATTTTTTGCTATATATATATATATAATAATATATATATATATATATATATATATATATGATGAATATAAAAATGAATTAAAATGTAAAACTTTTTATTTGAATTGTTTGATTAAATTTATTGTTAATAGGTTACAAACAGGGTTTAGTGAACAAGAAGTAATGCAAATTTTTTGTGATACTGTTGAAGCTGTGTCTCGTCTTCATCATTGTCAAACGCCTATAATTCACCGCGACTTAAAAGTAGAAAATATTTTAATGACAGAACAGGGTTCTTATGTATTGTGTGATTTTGGTTCGGCTACTGGTAAAATTTTAAACCCAACCACTCATGGTGTTGCTTTAGTAGAGGAAGAAATTAAAAAATATACAACCCTTTCATATAGAGCACCAGAAATGGTAGATATGTATTCAGGGAAACCAATTACAACAAAGGCAGATATTTGGGTGAGCAGATATTTGAGCACGTAATACAATGCAATTACAAAATAATTCAAGACATTAATTATTAAACATATTTTAGGCTTTGGGTTGTTTATTATATAAATTATGCTTTTTTACTCTTCCATTTGGTGAGAGCACCTTAGCAATTCAAAGCGGGAATTTTGTTATTCCTGATAATTCCAAATATAGCAGAGGTGTTCATCAATTGATAAGTATGTTGCTCTAATTTTTTAATAATTAGGTACATTCTAATAAAATATTTTATTAAATAGATTATATGCTGGAACCAGATGCTGACAAGAGACCAGATATTTTTCAAGTCAGTGAAATAGCATTTAAAGTAGTTGGAAAGGACAATCCAGTTCAAATTTGCATGTGAGTGAAGTATATTATTTTCTTTAGTTGGAGCTAAAAAGGCCCAAAACTCGATAGCTTTTGTTAACATGATATTCTTTTTTGTTTTTGTATTTGGATATGGAATTATATAATGATAAATTAGATTATTTAATGAAAATTACCAAACTAAAGTTTTTTTTTTGACAAATATCTTGGTGTTATTTTTACAGAAAAGCCCTATTCCAATTCTCCAGAATTTACCACTTCCGGCCTTTGAGTCTGAAGTGAAACGATCATCTGTGAAACTAAGTAAACCAGCTGCAAGTACTTTGGTTGAAGGAACTAGTGTCACACCCAGGCAAAGGCCTAAAGGAAGTCAACCACCATTATTGATAAATTCAAACATACCAATAACACTGAACACAAATGTAGCACCGGTTAGTAATACACATTCACCAGTTTCAATATCAGAACCACAAACTCTGGCACCTCCTCCTAGTCAGCAGGCGTTCAGCAGCCAGCCGTCACAGTTTCCATCACCAACTTTTGAAACTGGCTTTCAACAATTTGGTGCCACTAGTCCAGGACAATCTTTTAAAAAATATCAAGTTGCTAAAACACCAACTGCGCCACCTCAGTTTACAGCAGAAGAATCTCAACAATCTGCACCTTTTGTTCCTGTTCAATTTCCTGTACCATTTAGCATTGATAATGATGACCCACCATCTACTAAATTAAAAGTCAATTCCCCAAATTCTTCTAATTGCTTATTTTCATCCTCAAATTTTACTAATGAAAAAATTGATAACATAAGGGAACCCTCGCCCACGCATATTAATACGAATAATTCTGCAAAAGCCGATGTGTCTGCTGAAAGTGTTAGTCAATATTTACCTTCACTGAATACACCACCTTCATCTCCCAATTTGCACTTACCTAAAGGACATAGAAGATATATGAGTGACACCACAGCATTTAATAAGTAAGTAAATTTTGTGTCTTTTAATGTTTTAAGCCTGTCTAAAACATTTCTTCTGAATGTCATGCAGATTTAAGAATGCCTCTGTTTAAATTTTAAATTTATTAACCTTTTTTTAATTTTAAATATGAATTAAGAGTATTATCTGGCATATATTAGATTAGTTTGTTGTACCATCTTATATTAAAATGCTAGTGTTTAATTCATAGCTTATAATTATTTTCAGAGTTTATGCAAATGAAACTAGCCAGTTTCTGGCTCCATATCAGACCTCAGTCAAACCAAGATCTAGTTCCAATTCTCCTCCAGAAACATCGGAAAGAAACTCAGGTTCCCAAGGATTGTCAAGTTCTGCTAACAAATTGAATAAAAATGTTTTTCCTGTGGATAATCGCTCTTTATCTGTGACATGGCCAATTGGAATCCATTGGAGATCCTACACCTTTTTCTCAAATGACCGAAGACCATATCTTTGGCGCCGAGTTTGATAAAATCAGACACGGTACAGAATGTAGTGAGTAGACATCTCATGTAGAAGTTATATATGATACTTTTTTTAAACAGTTGCTTTTATTCAGTCATCAGGCTGACACAACTATGTTTGTTCTGTCTTTGCACATTAAATTATTGAGAATAGCAAATATTTAAAGTTAGCACAGATTATTTAATCATGAGAGTTATCTCAAAATCTTTCTTATTCAGAGGCAGAAGCTATTATGTTATCAATGATATGAGAATGAATGTTGAATGAACTTTTGTTCGTGAATCTGAGAAGATTTCCTAGTATTTTCTTTCCAATATTCAATGTGGTGTGTTCTTGTTGGGTGTTATTCATAACTGATTAGTTCCACTAATTGTCTTCTAAGTTGTGTTTAGTTCTGATTTAAAATTACACTTAATGCTGAACTTTTTTATGTTAATTATTTAGACTTGACCAATGCAAATTGGCTTTTCATTATCGCTGGTTATATTCTGTATCATCTTTTTTCTTCCAATTAGTATTACTATTATCTATATATAAATTTCTATGTATATGCAGACACAAACAGTCTGTCAGTTTTTCTTATTACATTACTGACTTCTCTACTTCATGTTTAATATATGCATTAATAATGAATTAAAAGAATCTATTATATTATCTTATTACACTATTAATAATGCCCAATATTATTTAATTTTTTTTTCATAAAAAATTAAGTTAAAATAAATTGATTAAGAAAACAAAATATTAGAAAAATTATAATACTAAAAGAAAAACATAAAGTGTATCTATTGTGACTAGAGCATAATTGTTTGTGTTTGTGCATTTTACTATAATTT